CCTGTACACATGGAAAAAAATAAATAAATTAACATTTCTAGACCAATATGGCTGTCCATTTCTGTACAATGCCAACTCAACACAGTAAATTGGGATGACTTTTTCCAAAGTTGGCAGCACCATTAGTTTCCCAAAATTCAATTTATTTATATATGTATATATAAATTTATATTTGTATAAAAAGACTAATAATAGTATATTATACATTGATAGCAGCAACAGCTTTTCCAGGTTCTGCAGTCATCTGAACAAAATTATAGACATTCAGCACATTCCATTAAAAACAAAACAAAGCAAAAAACAAAGAAAAGAATAATATCCAGAAAACAGCAAAGTTCTGTTGCTGTTGTGGTACCTGGGATCATTGAGCTCAGGACCATGATAGAAGCCATGAAGGCCCAGCATAAGAAAGAAATGGAAACAATAAACAGCCAACATAGGAAAGAAATGGAATCCATAAAACATATTCAAACAGATATCCAGGAGATTAAACACTCTATTGAAAGTGTACGCAACAGAATAAAAGAATGTGAAGATAGACTCTCAGATATAGAAGATAAGATTGCAGTCAGTGACCATGAAGAGAGGTCTCTTAAAAACAGTAAGAGATCATGAGAAATTGATCCAACAACTCCTAGATGATGCAAAGAAGAATAACATAAGACTGATAGGAATCCATGAAGTAGCAGGAGAAAATACAAATGACTTAAAAAAACTGTTGAAAGAATTAATGACAGAAAACTTCCCAAACAGAGGGGAAGAATTTGACATTCAGATAATTGAGGCATGTAGGACCCCAACTGCCTGCAATAAAAAAAAAATCTACACCTAGACATATAATAATCAAGATCCCAGAAACCCAACAGAAGAACAAAATACTACAAGCAGTAAGAGAAAAGAAACAAATCACATGCAAAGGAAAGCCCATCAGAATCACAGCAGACTTTTCAACACAAATCCTTGGGACAAGGAGAGCCTGGAATGAGATATTTAAAGTACTAAAAGAGAACAATCTCCAACCTAAACTGATGTATCCTGCAAAACTCTCTTTCAAGATGGATGGGGACATAAGACACTTCCACAACAAAGAACACCTGAGAAACTACATGAATACCAAACCAGCACTACAAGCAATTCTAAACAAGATCCTAGAAAAAGACAATGAAGGCAGCAACACCATGAGGCCCAACAGAGCAAATCAAATAGGCAAGGCAAGAAATTAAAAGGAGAAGGTGGAAAAGTAAAAAGAGTCAACAAAAGGCCAATAACATGTCAATAATAAGTCAATACATATCAGTTATAACCAGCAATGTCAATGGCCTCAACTCAACAATCAAGAGAAATAGACTGGCAAAATGGAATAAGAAGCAAAATCCAACAATATATTGTATTGTACAAGAAACACACCTAGAGCAAAAAGAAGCCCATAGACTGAAAGTGAAAAGATAGAAAACAATTCTCCATGTGACAGGAGCCCAGAAAAAAACAGGGGTAGCAATCTTATTTGCAGACAAAGCAAATTTCAAACCAAAACTGATTCTAGTATTATTGATGTAGGACGGTACTGTATCATACCTCTATGAATGTAAAATATCTTGTACCTGCTTTATGATACATAGTAGGGACCGTGCTTTATCAGAGCTACATTTAATGATATTACTCTAGAATGTTCTCTTTCCAGAGGATGATTAAAATGCTAATAAAAAAAAATAGATAAGACTTTTGTAGTGGATGCTTGAGTTACAATAGGCCTTATATGAACAACTTGGGTTATGATAAGAATTTTAGTTTTAACTTATGACCAAAGTTTTGAGTTACAACCTGAATACCAGCCACTTGTGTTTCCAGGTGTCTCAGATACAGATTTAACCCTTAAAGAGTTCTAGAAGGAGCATTACAGCATCCTTTCCTGTGTGGAGTTAATTGGAAAATCCTGGGCCAATGTCTCTCTAAGGACAGTGAGATCTGCCTGTATATAAGAGAGGTTTTGAAAACTGTGGAGAGGAGCAGAGCCCAAGCCTTCAATTGACCAACTCGAGTTACAACTAGCCCTCAGGAATGAACTGAGTTTGTCAGTGAAAGGTTCACTCTACAGCAGGAGAGCTCTACCATCCTTTAAAAAAAAACCTTTCTGTTCTGTAAACTTGAAAACATAGGAAAACAGAGAGAATAGCATAATGAAATTGCACCTACTCATCACCCCAACTTCAACACATGGCAATCTCATTTTCACTTTAATCCTACCCAGTCCATCATTTTCAAGTCATTGTCATTGTTATTTGCTAGTGTTGGGGATAGAATCCTGGGCCTTGTGTATGCAATGCATGCACTCTACCACTGAGCTCTACTACCTCAGCTCTGGATTATTTTAAAGCAATCTAAGACACTATAACTTTTAATTCACAAGTACTTCAGGAAGTCTCTCTTAAAACAAAGACTTAAAAATTACAAAAAGCTATTGTTATACTTAATAATTTATTAGCATCATTAAGTGTCCAATTGTTGCAATAATTTCCCAATTTTCTCTTACATGATTTTATTTTTAACAGTGGGCTCATGCAAAGGAAAACCCAGACCTAGTCCTCACATAGAATTTGGCTGATAAGGTTTTCAAAAGTGAAGTCCCCACCCTTTTTTTTTTCTTTAATATGTGGCAGAAACCAGGTCTTTTATTCTATAGAATTTCTCACACTTTGGATTTTGCTGACTGAGTATACAAGGTGTCATTTAACACATCCAACCCTCACTTATTCATCCTCACTCTAAACTGTTAGTTTATGTCTTATGGATAAAAACTTGCTGAAATTTAGGTCTAACTTGTCCTTTGGAATAGGAAGAGGCAGGGAAATTGCCTAGGTAGTGCTTTGTCCTTCCTATGGAACTGTATGGGGCAATACAATAATGTCTGCTTGTTCCTGATATGTTATAGGATACAAATTTGTACTTAAACAAGTTTAAGAAGTCCATTTTACAAAATGGTACATGTAGTTAATTCAATTTTGTCATTTCACAATAGATTTCATAACAATGTGCTGTATGTGTTAAATAATTTGATTTGTCAGTTAAAATAATAAAAATTGAGGGAATGGGGAAAGGTTCATCAATGAGTACTAAGTTGCAGTAAGAGTAGGAAGTTCTGGTGTGCAGTTTCATAGTATGGGAACTAGAGATAATAATTGTGAACTGTATGTATCTCAAAAACCTAAAAGAAATGTTTTCATTTGCCATATGTTTTTGGTAGAAGGGATTGAATTCAGGTCCTTGCACTTGCAAGGCAGGCACCAGAACTACTGAGGTATATTCCCAGCCCTTAGAAGAAATTCTTTGGGAAGCTGTCATTATTAAGAATAGATAGACGCTTGAGGGACCAGACACATTTAACCTGATTACACTATGTACATATGTATTGAAAAATTATATGATACCCCAGTAATACTTTAATTTTGTATTTATGTATCATTAAAAGTAAATTTAATTAATTAAAAATTAATAAGTAATTTTATTTCATAAGATATACCAGTGTGCAGTTCTCCTTGCTATAAAGTTCTTCATCCCCCCCTTTTTTTCTTTTATTGAGTTTATTGGTAAATTTTAGGGATACAGTACAATTACATTCATTATTGGGATCTTGCACCTTTACATGGACAGGTCTTGGTTCTCATTTTTTTCTCCTTGTCCATGCCCTCTCTTTACCCCCTCATCCTCTCCCCATTTGCAAACACTTTATTTCCATTTTTTTCATTTTCTCATATATTTTTCTTTTCCCTTATTACCTTTCCCCTACTCTTCCCACTTTCCCTACACTTTTAACCATTTTCTTCCTGTTTCACATGGTCAGTTATCTCACTAGGATCTTATGTACTATTACAGTTTTTCACACCAGAGAAACTATTCGGTATTTATACATGTGTGACTTATTTATTTCACTTAGGAGAGTATATCCTCAATATGTATCCATTTTCCTATGAATGCATCTAATTTCTCATTTTTTATGGCTGAGTAGTATTCCATTTTATAGAAAACCACATCTTCTTTATCCAGTTTCCAACTGATGGGTAAATGGGCTGTTTAGAAGTTTAAGCTATTAAAAACTGTGCCGCTATATACATTGGTGTGCATATATCACTGTGATATGATTCTTTTAGTTCTTTTGGAAAGATATCCAGCAGAGGGATGGCAGGGTCAAATGGAACCTCTAGTCCCAGCTCTTTGAGGTATCTCCATATTGATTTCCATAGTGGTTGTACCAGTCTGCACTCTCACCAACAATGGAGAAGGGTTCCTTTCTCCCCACAACCCCACCAATATTTGTTATTGATTGATTTCTTGATAGCAGCCATTCTTTGTGGGGTGAGGTGGAATCTCAGTGTTGTTTTCATCTGCATCTCTCAAATGACCAGCAATGTGGAACACTTTTTCATATATTTACTTACTGCTTTTACTTCTGGAGGGAAGATAGCCTCTTTAATAAATGGTGCTGCAAAAACTGGATCTCAACCTGTCAAGTATTAAAACTAGACCCTTATCTTTCACCACGCACTAAATTAAAATCCAAGTGGATTAAGATCTAAATATTAAAACAGAAACACTAAACTTGCTGAAAGATAAGTTAGGCAGAACTCTTGAAGACATTGGCATAGGAAAAGACTTTATGAACAAATCCTCAGTAGCATGGGAACTAGAAGAAAGAATCAACAACTGGGATCTCATCTTATTAAAAAGCTCTGTACTGCAAAAGAAACCATCAACAGAACTAAGAGACAACATACAATGTGGGAAAAAAATTCATCCCCTTTTAATGGTCTGAGCAGTTAATGATACCACTGTCCAGATCTGTTATTTCATCAGGAATCACAAAGTGATATTATTGTGATTCTGTCATTCTGTCACAGGTTGGCTTGGAGTATCCCCCCTTCTTACAATAGAGTTCCAACTCTCATTAGCTCACAATGGGGCTTTTTTTTTTGGAAATAGACTTGCTGCCGACGGAGTTAGTCAAAATGAGATCATAGTGGAGTAGGGTAGACCTCTTATCTAGGATGATCAATCTTCCTTAAGAAAGGAGAGATTTGGACTCCAGGCCAGACACATAGTACCCAGGGAGGATGCTACAGCGGGGATTCTGCTGCCCCAACCTAAGAAAGTACCAGAAGCTGGGAAGGAGGCTAGCGCAGAACCATCCCTAGTGCCTTCCATGAAAGCACGGCTTCGCTGACACCTCCATCTCCAACTTCCAGATCCCAGCTTGGGAGACAATTACAGGTGTGTAAGCCACATAGTTCATGATACTTTGTTGCAGCGGCCCTAGAAACTCATACACAAACTGCAGTTCGTGATGGGAATCTTAGAGTGAAAAGAGGAAGACTTTCCTTCATACTTCTTATTCTGAAGGGTAGTTCATATAGGACACACAGACTATGTGCTTCTTTCTATTTACTAGTTTTTAGAACATTGAATGATTTCCTAACATCCTCCAAAGGAAACCAAGGAAGTTTTGTAAAGTTAGTGATTTTTACGATATGTGTAAATATTTAAATGTGTGTTATATTTCAATCCATTGCATTCATTAACTTTGTCAATGATCAAAGCTTTATCTTTGGCCAGAGGCAGTATTTTCCAGAAGACTCCTGTATCTGCTCCAGTAGTATTGTGACTTTCTTGCTTTTTTGGCACAGTAAAAATGTTTCTAGTTCATCTTTCCCCAGACATGGAAACTGTAAGTTCTTCAAGGCCTCTAGCTTCTCTCAATGGAAAGTGATCTTTCGAAACTAGAATCTGGGTGCTAGGAAGATTCATGGATGCTAAGCAGATGACTGTTTCTAGACCTTCCCTGTGGATAAATCTTGGAACAAATTAAGAAAAAAAATTCATTGTTTATGGTACATGAATTTTTTATGCTGAAAATTTTTGTTTTCAGTCACTAATTTTATTAGGATAAGTTATTTGGCTTATCTTACTGTGTTTGTATTATAAATGTATTATACTTAAATGCAGAATAGTTAGATATTTCACATATACTATGTTATATACAATACATACATATTTTTATATATATAAGTACCTTCAAAATAGGAACACCAATTGTAACTAACAATAGAAATACTGTCAGTGATAATATATTAACAAAATTATTTCTAGTAACAACATTTTTGCTATTATTAATAATATTTTTGCAAACAGTTTTAAGACTCCTTTGTGACTTTTGGTACTTGGGATATATATCTCACTAAAGGTGCACAGTCTTATTACTATGTTTTAAAATCATCTGAAATAATTTATCTTTGCATGACTAAGTCACTAAATTTATACACATTTAGGCTTATTTGATTTACTTTGTTTGTACTATTGGAGAAAGCACAGGATTTTTTTCCAGTACTGGGGATTGAACCAGGCCTTGTGTATGTTAGGTAAGAGCCCCACCACAGAGCTACATCTCTCATTTAATCAGATTCTTTTTTTTTTTTTTTTTTAGTACCAGGGCTTGAACTCGGGTCCTTGTGCTTGCAAGGCAGGCCACCGAACCACTAAGCTAAATCCCCAGCTACATCTCTCATTTAAAAAAATGTTTTAGAGACAGAGTCTCACTAAATTGCCCAGGCTGACATGGATCTTACAATCTTCCTGAGTCATTCTCAATATCTGGATTACAGGCTTGTACCACCATGCCCAACTTAGTTTTAATTATATTTTGTTTCATGAAACTTTTAGCTGTCTCCAGAATGAAATTTGTAAAATAAGATTTGTTCAAGTAATCTAGCTTACATTTTCTCCCTGTCACTTTTTTCTCTTCCTCCTACATATATAACCATTTTATTCCTTTTTGTGTGTCCTTCCACTGAGATTTTAAAATAATGGTCATATATACTATTCTCTACTGTTCTAAAATATAAGGTAGAATGCTATACACACTATTGTCTACTTATTTTTTCCATTTGTCCTGGAGACCTCTCTGAATCTGCATGAGGAGATTTTCTTGTGTAATGCATGGCTATCCATTGTGTGGGCTTGACTAATCCGTGGTTTCTGCAGCCAGTCTCAGTGATGGACACTGTGGTCATTTTTCTAGTCTTTTGCTATTACAAAGTTTGGTGTAATAAGTAGCCTGTACACATATCTTGTTGCATGTTCACCAGCCCCTTTTGGGAGTATTTTCTTAGCAGTGGGATTGCTAAGTCAATTTGACTTGATGTTGCCAAATTACTCTCCATAGGAGCTGCTCTAGTCTTCATTTGCCCCAGCAGTGTGCGAGAATGCCTTTTGTCCCTCATCCTAGCCAGCAGAATGTGCTGTCAGGCTTCTGGACATTGCCAGTATGATAGGTGAAATGGTATTTGTGTTTAATTCCAATTTGCATTTCCCTTATTCATTTTGCTAGTTTTAAAGGATGCAAAGAGGGGGAAGACGAGTGGAACTGTGAATGTGTTTGTGGATTTGGTGTTAGGCAGGTGTTTATTTCTCTAGGCTGTAAGCTTCACCGGGATAGGACAGCGGTTATTTTGGAAAGAAGAGGTACTCACCAGTGTGCAATACAAGTGAGTGAGTGAATGAACGAAAGGATGAATGACATATAGTCTTCCTTCTGCCCATCTCACAATGCTACTGGGGTCTATTCAACAAGTTACCTTCTGCTCTTCCTTCGCCTCTCTCCAGACTCAGAAACTAGAAGCAGGAAAGCCACTTTAGACATCTAAATAAAATAATGAGTTTAAAACAAACAAAAGAATTAAAGAAAAGACTTGCTTAATGCCATGAACACAAGGTCATTGGGTGTATCTGTAAAAGTGAGATGTAAGGCAGGGTGTAAGTAGAACGACATTCCTACTTGCTCATGGATCTGGGAGGCCAGCTCAGCCAGGCAAGCATTATGCAGGAATGATGAATTGCTTGACTAAGGGAGAGAACAACCTCTGTGTGAGTTCTTTCCCTGTTCATTCTATCCCATTCTGACTTGAAACTCCCAGAATTGACAGAAACTTCAGGGTTGGTCATGGCTGTGATTCCACATAGCCACTCTCATGCTTTTTCAATCTGTGCGTGGCTCTCTGGAAGAATAGGATGCTCTCTATTGCAAGGAGACCTTGCTTCTTGGGGATGAGCTAAGTTTAAGCCCTCATGGACACAAAAACCCTCTTGTGATTGTTATCTGCAATGTCCCCTAATTAAAGGATTGGGTGATGATGGGCTTTTGACAAGTGATTGGATCATGATGTCTCTGACTTTATCATGAAATTCTGTTTTGATAGCATTATTGAGAGGCATTGCTAACAGGAGATAGGGCTTAGTTGAAGATTGGACATCCTGTGGATCATGGGGGTATACTCTCTTCCTTTAGGTCATGAATGTTGGGTGTTGTGTCCAGAGATGGGAAAGTGACTAAGATAAGATAGAAGAGCCATGGAGAATATGGGTACTTATGAGTACACAGATGGTCATCCTTTCTGCAGAGCAATGTGATGGTACTTGGTCAACTGCACTTAATCTAGGACCAAGAAACCCCAATCGTGGAAATGCCTCTAAAGAAATTCTCATGATAGTCTCTGAGGGAAATGTATGAGGATGCTTGCCACAGCCTTGCCATGGGAACTGAGAGTTGGAGGTACCCTAAGGGTCCATTACTAGAGGAATGGATAAATTAAATAAAGAGTAAATGTTTGTAAAGGGGGCGGGAAGAGGAGTGAAGGGAGGGCAGGGACAAGGGGAAGAAATATGTACCAATAAACTCAATGAGGAAAAAAAAAAGAGTAAATGGAGTTCTATGCAGCACAGAAAAGCCATGAAAGAAAGATATGTTCAGTTTTTGTTACTTACAGTAAATATGCTCTGTAAGGTCTCTGAAAACACCAAATTAGCAAATATTAAATCACTGTTCCTGGAGGAAATAGAGGGTAAGATTCCTGTGAGCCTCAGATCTTTGCAAACACCAAATTAGCAAATATTAAATCACTGTTCCTGGACAAAGTAGAGGGTAAGATTCCTGTGAGCCTCAGCTAGTAGCGTTTTTGCCAACTAATCAATACATAATCTTGTTTTATGTATATGTGTTTTTAAAAATCCCTTATTTAATACACACGGTTGATGCATTGGCATTGAACTTATGGCCACAGCATTGTAATTTAGGCCTTATTAAAGATTATCTAGTGCATATATTCCCTGTAATTTCACACCCACTTCTTGTGCTTAGGAAAGCCACATAGCACTTCAGCACTGAGCTTAGGGGCCATTATACAGGGTGAAATTGTCAAGAACACAAAATGGTAAAACATGGCACTACTGGCCTGTGGAAAGGACACTTGTGTACAGTATCACAGCAGAGACAAGAAGGCATTACAGCTTCTTGTCCTCAGCTGGAGCTGTGGCTCTTAGTCCATTCAAAAGTTCACATGATCTGTGCTTTTGAAAAAGTGACCATGAAAGGGATGCCACTATTGATTGTGGGGTTCAAATAAGTATTATGAAGTAGACAAATTCACAGATACAGAATCCATGAATCATGAGGATGGACCAAATGCTCACACACATGCTTGGTTCTTAAAACAATTGAATGAAAGATCAAGAATGAATCAGATACACAGCACACTACCATTTATGTCAGAATATACACAAAGCAATCACACATGGGTTTCCATAACTCATCTAAATCAAAGAACACTCATCTATTTAAGTACTGTATCCTGGGTAAGGAGCAGATATGAAATGGAACAAAAGAACCAACAAATAAGATTAGAGACATTAGTATGTCCTGAATGGAAAACACAACAAACTCGGGCCTCTCCACAAGCAAAATCTCAACAAGAATCACCTTGTCACTCTCTCCCCACTTCTCTGAGTCTCCCTCTCTCTTTACTTTCTTGTTCCCAGCCATGTCCCCTCTCCCACCTCTTCACAGAGGGCCTGAAATTTCTACTGAACTCTGTTCTCTTCTGGCTGGATTCTTGAGGGAAGGAACTCTGTCTTTCCTCACTGACATGGTTTGGGTCCAGAGCAACCCTTAAAGGACCATGGAACCCATGAGCCATGAGACTCTCCCTCCTGACACTCTCTCTCTCTCTCTCTCTCTCCCTCCCTCCCTCCCTCCTTCTCTCTCCTCTACCTTCCTCCATCACACACTCCCACCATAATGTAATGCTTTCCCACAGAGGAACTATGGGTAGAAACATCTAAAACCATGAGCCAAATTAAACCTTTCCTTTTTTCAAGTATAGCATCTCAGGTATTCTGCTATAGTAACTCAGAGTTGACTAACACATTCTCTGAACACCACA